ACCAAACGTGTTCACCGTCCTTAGGACTCCAGCCAGGCAGTCGGGATGCACCAACCGACGCCAACTTCGAAGTGAGGGTTTTCATTACTCTCGACCAAGTCATCGCTTGGCCTCCCCTCGTTCTCTTCCAACCGCACCCACAACGCGCAAACAATGCACGTCGCAGGAGTCGGTGTGCTAGCATGCGCAACACGTGGCCAGTTCATCGGAGCCTGGTGCGTGATATAATGGTGCTGAGCGATTCACTCGCTCTTCCTGCACCAAATACACGACGCCGAACACGCTCATTGCTCGTGCGGTGCTCCGGTGCTGCGAAGGCAGCAATGATCGAATATGACGAGCCTCTTTATATCTGTCGATCTGATGGTCCAGATGTCACAACCATATAGGAGAGCTGAACGGACGGCTGCGTTATAAACTCTGCCCTTCAAGGCGAGAGTAATGTTGCGTCTGCGCCACAGGTGGCGGAGATTGGCAAAAACATCTCGAGCTTTTGCTTTACGGTTCGTAATCCCAGGTACTTCAATTCTTGAACGACTTCTAGCTGATCACCACAAAGCGTTAGCGCAAGGTTGGGTCCCTGTCAATCTTGGAGAAGTACTTTGCATTTCGATGGAGCAAGGCATAGCCCAAAACGATTGACAGCCAGTGCTTATCGGTCCAGCGCTCCTTGGCATGTTTGGGGGCTGTCACAGATTAGGACAATATCATCCGCATATTCCAAGTCAAGAAGTCGCTCACCAGGAAGTAGCTCCACACCTTCTAGGTCGTGTCCAGCGAACACTGTTTTCATGGCTTCGTCAACTGCGAAGTTAAATAGAAAAGATGACGGCGGGCAACCATGTCTCACACGAATGGTGATACTGAAGGGTGGCGACCGTTGGCCATAAACCCTCACTCTGGCCGAACTATGCGAGTACAGCGCTATGCTAATGTCTGCCTATTTATCAGGCACACCTTTCCTCAGCAAACAGTCCCAAAGGGTACGTCGATCGACTGAGTCGAAGGCACCTTTTATGTCAAGAAACACGACAACGGTGGGTCACCAATAAACATGGCGGTGCTCCAGCAATTGACGCAAGGGGAAGGTGTGGACGATGCAGCCCCGACCTCGACGATAACCCGGCTTGCTCTTCACGAATCTGGCTTTCATGAGTGCAGGTCAGTTTATGAAGAATGACAGAGGCAAGCACTTTAGAGGCAATAGAAATCAGACTGATCCGTCTAAGATTGCCGCATTCCAAACGGGAGCCTCCCTTGAAAATTGAGACAATTACGGAGCGGCTCTAGTCTGTCGGAATAGTTCTGCTCCCAAAATTTCACCAGCAACTCGTCTAAATCATCTATTAGAGCAGATCACCCGAATTTGAAGAGGGCTGGGGGAATTCTATCTGCCCCTGTGGCCTTATGCAATTTCAACAGCCTGATCTCACGTTCGATTTCTGCGGGTGAGGGCGGATCCAAGGAGACGGACCAGGTAGAGGAGTGCTTAATGTCTAAAAAGGAAAGCGATAACTCAGGTTGGTTACATTGCCTTGCAAAGTGTTCGGCCTAACCCTCCAAGCGTTTTGACAGGCTGTGGATCTGCTGCCCACTCTATTCGCGTATGGTCTCGCTAACACCAGATTACCTGCTTCCTGTTTCCCGTAGCTGACGGAATAACTTACGATGATTACCAACGGTAGCGGCATTTTCCATCTCAGATTTTGAGGTCTTTCTTCAGCCTAGCACGTAGTTTTGCCCTGAGATTTTTGCGAGCCGCATTGTATTTGCTTCCAGCCGGAATACGTCGGCGAGCAACCGTAAGTTCCAGAGACTGTGTAGAGACCCCATGTCCAATGTGGCAATTTGATATGCCACATGAAGACATGCCTGCTAACAGTGACGTTTGACGAGTATGCGACCAGTGATCTTCGACGGTGTTTAGTGGGCGCTTACTCGCCCAGATGTCAGCGCAATTTGATACACATTCAGAACACCTAGCCTCGCCAGCTGGCTGGTGTCAATCCGTTCACATCGACATTGCGGATGTCCACCGAAGAGCACCCGGAGGTCGGCGCAGACAAGTGCGTGGTCAGAGTCCGAAGCGAGCGACAGCTTTGGACACATCCTCTCCAGCAGTAACCGATCGCGATATGATCGATTTGCGTCCATGGCTGGCCCGAGGCTGGTGGCCGCCAAGTCACGCTTCTGCGGGTGCTGTGACGAAAATTAGTGCTCGCAAGAAAGAGGCGAGCATCTTCACACAGCTGTAGCAATCGCTCACCGTCATCATTACGGGAGCCTACACATTGTTGGCCGCCCAGATGAGGCTCATCAGAGGACAGTTTTCCGACTTATGCGTTTAGATCGCCAGCCAGCACCACAGTATCCGCGCTTCTTCTGTAACGAAGGAGCTCGTGAAGTTGCTGATAGAAATCATCTTTTACCGAATCAGTGCTGCAGTTTATAGGGGCGTAGGCCGCAATGACAAACAGGCACCGTTTGTCCCCGCGCGACTTCGAGGCACGGAACGAACCAGCTAATCTAACGGCGCACATCCTACTGTTTACTGGGATCCAATCGATCAGGGCAGCTTCAGCCCGGGGACTCAAAACAATGCCGACGCCAGCTTGACCGGCATTTGGAGCTGCATCGTCGCCAGACCGGCGCAATGAGAATGTGCCGCCAGTGTGGCATGTGGGGGATCGCAGGGTAACCACGGAGCTCGAATCTTGCAGACGGGTTGTTGAAAAACAGCAAATATCGATCGACAGGGTCTCTAGTATGCGGGCAAGTGCTGCCTGTTGGCCAATCTGTAGCAAAGTGCGCACGTTGAGGCATGCCAGTCTTAGCGAGATCAGAGGACTCCAAAGGGAAAAGGATGGACTGACGTTGATCGCTTGGTTGAACATGGACTTGTCGACTGGATTGGAGCGACGCCCTGCGACTGTGTGTGATTTGAAACTAGAAGACAAGCGGCTATTGAAGCAAGCTGGGGGAGGGCCAAGAATTGGAGGATTAAAAATGGGGTGGCGATAAAAGTAAAGTTGGAGCGGGACGATAACGATGAAGAAGCACAAGAAGGGGGATAAGAAGACGGGAAGGCCTGAGCAGTAGCATCCCGAGATACTTTACGAAATGTGAACGAGGGATGTTTTGGTCACTCAAAACCAAAGGAGGAAGGGCGTTTAAAAAGAGCGTGGTTGTCAGGGCGGAGAAAAAATACGAGATATCACAAGACTTAGAAAGGTTAAGGGAGAGGGAAGGTGAGCTCGACCAAGTCAAGAGTTCGTCTAATCCTCGTTGGAATTTCGAAGGTTCCTCAATGGCTGAGTTTATACATCCGAGGACGAAGTCGTCAGCGTATTTACACCCGATGAAACTGGTTGGTACAGACAAGTACTCAACATAGACGGAAAACAGAAAGGGGGATAGAATAGATGCTTGTAGGTCCCCACAATTGGTTGGGATTGAAGATCTTCGGCCGCAGAACTGCGTGAAGTGTGTGCAATCTGTAAAATAGTCACGAACGAACGAACGAAGCTTTCGTACAAAAGGTTGTGTAGTAGCGATCTGTCATGGTTCCCAAAGACATTAGTATAATCAAGGAACAGGAGCTGCAGTCTTACATTTTTTATCCAAAGCAAATGCTATGGAATGCACAAGATATGAAACGGCATTTAGATTCGAGTGCCCTGACTTGCATGCAAACTGTTTAATATCAGTCTTATGATTGCTTTTAAAGATTAGGGGAACTAGTAGTTTTTCAAGCACCTTCAGCAGCAACGAGGTACCCGTGTTATTCTGGCTTCTTTTTATATGTTGTGGATAGTTCCAGTCGCCAAACATCGGTTGAAAATCTCTGTCAGAGGTGACTGTAATGCATTAGCACACTTCTTCAAAACGATTGGGGACAAGGAATCGGGGCCATTAGCTTTGTTTGGCTTCAGTCCCGTAAGTACCTTGTAAACGATGATGTGGTCAAATAAGGTGGGAGGGTAATTGATGAGGAAAGAAGGTTCGGAAGAAGTGTTTTCTGATGATGAGATAAAATCTGCATTGAGCTTGCTCACATTCACAGTACCTAGTGAGTAATTAGAATTTTCTCCGGTGAGTTGCTTTAAGACCATGGTCACTGCGGTTTTCTAAAACGGTTTCAATGTACAGACTATTTAACTTTTGTTATCTCGGATTTTATATCTACAGATATACATTTGACAGGGGCTGTTAGTTTGTATTTGTAAGCCTGTAATTTTTTCTGCTTCTTTACCCATGATAAATCATGGTTCATTGTACAAGATGGGCCGAAATAAGGCGGAATTTTGATTTCGGCTCCATGATCTAGAAGACTAATCCCACCGCTAGTACACATCCTCGGATGACATGTGTACAGCTGAATTGTGTCATTTGGGGTGTTTTATAACACCACATCAACATTATCATCATTAGACGTTAGCTGAAGAGGAGAAACGCACTTCAGCCAATGTACTGGGAGATACAAGAAAATTATAGAAAACAATCAAAAAACCGAAAAAGCAATATGATGCTGGATATCATATTACGTGTCGGATGTTAGATCGTGTTTGGAGGTGGAAGATGGAGTGGAAGGGGAAGTACATAGAAACTCAAAACACAAACGCCATTGCAGTCGGTTCTTCGCCATGAAAGAAAGGCATCAACAGTACGCCGGTACGCAGTGTTGATGCTTCGCCGCCACGCAACCATCACCGGTCGCACGTGGACTGAGGATACTGCGAGGGTCGCCGTGCTCCTACGCAGGCAAGCCATGTCAACAAGCTTATATCCAACCAAACGTGTTCATCGTCCTTCGGAACCTAGTCGGGAAGCACCAAGCGATGTCAAGTAGCATGGGAACATGTAAGGAAAACGTGCGCAAACACTTCAAGCAGCAAATCTGGGGACAAGCCAACCCATGTCAAAAGAGGGAGAAAATCATTGTAACGTAGTTGATTCTGATAGATTAGGGACGGAAACACAAGTACACTGCTAGAACTAACCTGGGAAAGTTGGTCCGGTGTGCTCAAGTCAGTCAAAGAAGAAAGTTTGAGGCTAAGTGGAAATGAGAGGCGAAATATATCCCTCACGGGAAAGTCCAAAACAGCTTTGCCCAAGTCGTATTTATAGAAACCTTCCATGCCGTGGACGGCGATCCACTTTTGGAGGGGGCTCATTTGTTCCAACTGTAACTTGTGATTTACCACGGATCGTCCCATGGAATTCAACAAATGCATTGCCTAAAGAAAACATAAGTAAATAGGTTTTAAGCCAGATTGGGGATGGTGACGTGACATTATTCGTTAAATAGTATATGAAGGCAATGCTGAATAAATTAAATGCCGGTGTCCCGTCTCGCTTTCTAAGCTGAGTTCCAAGTAACAATGCCGACAGTTTGTATGACATATTACAATGCATAACAGACAGCCGATGCCAGTGGCGCGATTGTTGTCTACTCTTAAGAGACCAGACTGTTTAAAGTACGCTTGATGCTGAGTTTTCTGCGGACGAAATTAACTGTAATACGGCTTGGTGAAAGCTCCCAAAGGGAGTTTCTTCGCCGACGCCACCTTATCCTTGCACGATGGCCTGCCGTTTGCAACCGTGCATCTTTCTTACTAGAAATACTTGCTTAGACCATTAACGTTCTACACTATGTCCATCGGGTACCCCACTAGTGGAACAAGCATGTTCATATAGCAACAAAGCATCAGCATCAAACCCTGAAGTACTGCTGCGGGTGACGACGAAGTCTCCCTGGACGGTTCACGAAATGAAAAGCCAGGCGAGCATTTCCACTTCGAGCAGAAAACCTCTTCGGTGACTGGTTCATTAGATGTGGGCTGCACCTCTAAGCTCACTTATAAAAATGGACGCCATTTGTTAAAAATCGAAGACTAAGGCCGAACTCATGTCTATTTAGGATGCAACAAAAAGAGTACTTAACTGCTAATAAAATTAAAGAACTGTTCGCCTTAGTTACATAGAAAATGGTGTAAAAGAACGGGTCTGATAACATCTAAGCCCGTGCGGATTTCGCAATACAAAAGCACAGAGAACGATGGTGAGAAAGTCTTGTCGAGACAACGTGAAATACAGTGTTCGCTTATCATGAGCTTATCGCTAGGCAAAGTAGCTGTCACTCATTCCTTCGTCCTACTTTGTTACATTCTTCGGTAGTACACAAATTGATGACCCACCTGTGGCCTATGAAAAAGCTGGCACATCGATAGGTTGGATAAATCAGATCAACCTTTGATCTTTTATTAGTCTATACTGTTCTATTCTTCGTGTTACTCAGATGGCCCGTTGGTGACCTACGGAAACCTAGGCACATCGAAGAGTTGGATAGATGGGATTTATCTTTGATTTTTTCTTCATCAACACAACTTATCACTGTGCTCTTAGTTAACTCGAAGACGCATTGATGGCATTAAAAAGCATGCGTACATTGGTGTGTTTGATAAGTCAACGTTTTCCTTAGCCTTCATATAGTGCTTCCTATCAATCACATAGCTAGGTGAAAGACATGAGTGCATGCAAGACATGGGTCTACTGAAAGAGTGAATTGTTGATGTTCGGCAACTAAGCCATCCAACTTATATATGCAATTCAATTTGCCCTGTGTAAATATATGTTACCCTTGTGGGAAGTACGTCGTTAGTGCCAATTGGCTTAGTTTTCATGATGGATGCAGTTCTCAGTTTAACCGTTTGCTGTGTTATCATGTCTGCTCACAGGTGCATATTGCCACACATCCCATTAAACATAGCTATTTTATTGTATTTTCACAACCCTTCGCTTAAACGATTTGCACTTGTCGTGAATTCCGAAGAATTTCGAAACGAAATCAATGACGCAAGAAACAATGGAAATAGAATCACAAGTGTTCTTGCGCAGCAGTTTCGTAAAACCAGTCTGCATTTCCTATGCATCCTATGCTTGCCCGTAGCCTACAAGGCACGAGCTTGTCTTGTAATCTGCCGGCGCGGGTTCGAGACTGCGCAGGGACAGGGCGACCCTCGCCGGATCCTCAGCCCGCGTGGTGGTTGCGCAGCAGCGAAGAGTCGGTACGGCGTATGTTGACTTTCTTTTCATCCCCTGTAACTTATGATCAGGCCAGCTTAGCTGGGTCGTCTCACTTAGTTGAGAATATACCAATTTTTAAAGCCTACTGAGGTAAGTGAACTAACCGACTACCATAGATCATTGCTCAGTGAAATAACGCACTGCGGACACGAATCAGTGTGAGTGGCTTCCAGAATTAAATTAAAACAAATTGTTTGTTCTCGGCAACGCGAGGCACGTCTGCACAGGCAGGACTATGATAATAGTACGACGACTGACTGAGTAATATACAAAGTATAACAAGTGTCACAAATGTGGATCCAAGAATGTACAACAGACTGAGAATATAGGTCCAGCGGAATCTCCCTTTACCGCATCAATGCGCGCCTGAAGGAAACCCGACGCGTTCTCTCTAAACTGAAGTCGTCCAATCGGCACTGTGTGTTGGAGCGCATGCGCGTGCGCTCAGCGTCACACTTATCTCTCTGCCTCTTTGTCGGGCCACATGTGATTGACGGCAAACTGCACCGGCTGACAGCCACTCTGGCGCGGAGACTCAGGCAGACTCATTATCCAAAGTACACGATAACCTGACTCCGTTACGACGGCGGACGGACAGGCAAACCACGAACTGAGGTCACTGAGATGGCAACGAGCACTGACCTCACTACACCATTTCCCGGCCAAGTTGTCCTCTTGGGCAACAGAAATAATCTGAGGGGGCATTAAACATGAGTCTACTCAGTTAATTTGTTCCGTGCGTAGGAGCTGAACCGTCTCACCTGCAACCCTATGACTTAGTGGGTCTGAGGTCCAATTGGCTGAAGGCGATGGGCTATACACGCACACCTGCACAAGTGACTGGCGTACGCACGGAACAAATTAATTGAGTAGACTAATGCTGAATGCCCCCTCAAATTATGTCTGTTGCCCAAGTGGACAACTTGGCCTTTTGTAAACTCGCTGTTTCATGTAACCCCAGAGAAAGAAATCCAATGGGCTCAAATATGGTGACTGAGCAGGCTAGTCTGTTCGTCCTCTCCGATCGATCCAACGGCAAGGGAACGTCTGCTCGAGAAAATTCCGCACCTGTGGTGCATAGTGTGCAGGTGCATCATCTTGTTGCAACCAAACGGTACTTAATAACCCAGCGGCTTCCAGTTCCGGAATGACACAAGTTTTCAGTAATTCCTTGTATGAGGATGCTAGAAAGCGTAAGGCATTAGTACTGCGAAACAATAACCTACCAGTTGCATTACCGGAAAAGCAAAATGGTCGCACGATTCTTTGGCCAGTTGACCCAGCCCATACCATGAGCTTTGCGCCATGTCGTATACGTGAAGCGCTGCATCGGCGTGGATTACACGTTGCCCAAAACGGTTGCTTCTCCGCAACGTGCAAACGAAAAACAGCCTCATCGATAGAAAGAATGAAGTGAATGTCCATGACGTTCAAAAAATTGCGGCAAAAATCAAGCAGCCTGTTCGGATCACGTGTTCAAAACACGCACTTGACGGGCCCTTTACTTACGGAATTTGCCTTCCATCAAATTCCTGCGTACCGCAATGCTGGGAGAGTTTACGAATGTCAACGGCGCTGCTTCGGGATATCTCACGGACAACCACCCAAGCAGAATGGTCATCCATGGTTATGCGGGGCCGCCCTGTCTTTTTGACGTAGAACACGATCCCAGTTTTCTCAAACTTCCTCACCAACCTAGGAAGGTACCGTTAGTTGATTGGCCGCGTGGTTCCGTGGATGGTGTTGTATTGTCGAACAGTGTGTTCAGCGTTACACCTGCACTCATCATACCGACGAAGAATAATCATTCGCTGATTAACAGGCACGTAACGCGATTCGGATTGCATACGAGGAATGTTCAAAAAGAAACCGAACTTTTGCTTTAACATCTTATCGCGCGTTGCACAACATTTGAAGCGCTATTTCTCTTAAAGTGGTTTTCTCTACAAGCAATACAGTGTTCTCAACGGTGCTGCCATTTTTGGAACGCAATTTCTGGGATGGCGCGCAGGTCAGTTGTCACAGTGTTCTGAATCTCCTCCATGGATTGGAAATGAGTCCTATTAACGTGGTTTTAAGTTTGGGAAACAGGAAAAAGTCTGCAGGGGCTAGTTCCGGAGAATACGGTGGAATGAGCACAACGATAGTGTGATGTATTGTTAGACAGCTGCGGACAAGGTGCGATGCGTGAGCCGGCGCATTATCATACTGCAATAGCCCAGTCTGGTTTTCCGAGAGTTCAGGCCTCTTCCGGAGCATAGCATCCCTTAAACGCGCTAGAATTTGAAGGCAGGATCATACGCTGATGCCCACTTCGTCAATAACTTCTAGGAGAGTAAAACGACGATTTCCACGGAGCACAGCACGTACTCCCTCGACATGGTCATTGTCTTGTGGTGTGGAATGTCGTCCAAGCTGTGGATCGTCATCGACCGACAGTCTGTCGTGTTCAAAAGATTTAAACGACTTAAAGCACTGCGTGCGACGCACACGCCTCTACTCATATACATGCCTAAGCAATGTAAATGCCTCTGTAAAAGATTTGTCGTTCGTAGCAAAAGTTCACACACACATATGTTGTCTCTTTGGCACCCATCTGAGGAACAGCTAGTGCTCGTGCTCACTTCAGCGGCTGTAGCTCGCCAACTAACAGTCAGAGCGAAATGCGGCAAATGGCAGTTTGTTGTCTAAACAAGCCTCCACATGCGCTCAGTAGCCGCAGCGCGCTCCCTCTGCCGGTTGGCGCGCTATTTCAAAAGTTCGGTTTCTTTTTGAACACCCCCCGTATAACATGGTGACGGCGGCATATGTTCGTGCTCTATCGTCTAGGCAGTGAGCTGATACCCAAATGGCAAGAATTTCATTACATGGAAGTCATAGCCTGACTGCTGTGTAAGTGTGCATTTGGTGACCAGCTTCGTCCTACACTAGTGAGGTCAGCGCTCGTTGCCATCTCAGTGACCTCAGTTCGTGGTTTGCCTGTCCGTCCGCAGTCGTAACGGAGTCAGGTTATCGTGTACTTTGGATAATGAGGTTGCCTGAGTCTCCGCGCCAGAGTGGCTGTCAGCCGGTGCAGTTTGCCGTCAAGTCTCCACTTCACATGTGGCCCGACAAAGAGGCAGAGAGATAAGTGTGACGCTGAGCGCACGCG